AGGCGTCCCCAGGTTCAAGTAGTTCGGCAAGGGACGCAGAGTAACCAGGGGGACAGCTCGAGCAAGGGGGGATGTAGAAATTATAAATACGAAGCTTGGATGAACTGGCTACCACTGATATGCCCATAGCCTCTAGTGTTCCATCGTTGTTAATATTTATTTCTTCGTATTGTATCGACTCATGTATGGCTATGAGAAGACCGCCCCCTTCTTTTTCTCGATCTTTTCTAATTAAAGTGTAGTGTGAGCCAAGTGAGGGGTTTCGAGATTTCTTTCTTAATTTAGTTTCTTGGAAGACAGCAATATGAATTTGATTTTGAGATAAGAAAGCAGCAATTTCGGGTGCTTTTCCGGAGATACCGTTGCAATTAAATTGAAGGATTTTTAAAAGGCCTTTGGCGGGGTGTGGTGAACTATTTACATTATTAACAGCAGTATGATTAAAATGGTTGTTTGAACTTGAGTTATTTACACTATTTACACGATTACGATTTGCGCGATTTTGGGAGGAGGAATTATTATTCGAGGAGGTGGGAAGGGTGGGAGGGGGAGGGGGGTTAGGGAGGTGGGGTTGGGGGCGGTTAGGGAAGTTGAACAAGTTTGGGAGTTGGGGGTGGTCAAGTTAGAGGACCTGGTGCCTGGGGGAGGTAAATTGTAGGTAGAGGTACAGGTAGGGCAATTGTAGTCAGGGTGGTGTTGGTTAAGGTGGGTAAGACCACTACATTTAAGGTGAATGTAACCACAGATGTGGCACCAGACACTGGGCTGGGTGCGTTTGATGCGGAAAGAGCAAGGGGAGCAAAAGTAAGGCCCTGGACCAGGGTTTGGATTAATGCCGGAGCGGAGTAGTAGTATAAGGATGAGCAGACGGAGCAGCCTGGCCGGCTTCAGACGCTCCGTAACCGAAAACCCGGAGACTTCTGAGCTTCTCCCGACCCAATGGGAGGGGGGGCTTGACGCCATTTGCATCTTGGTGGGGCCCAAGATGTCGGATCCACCACTGGAAGGCGGCGTCGTCTGGATCTAGATTGCTCAATTGATCCCACTCAGGGCTTTGCCCTGATTTACGAACAGCTAAAGGGTATTGAGCTAAAGGGTATGCAAACTATTGATTTCAAGCTAACTAAGTAACAAAAATTAAAATTACTTAAGAGTCCTTAGCTCAAACAAGACTGCTCAATAGCAGACAACAGTCGAAATAACTTGAAGTTAGATTTAGTAAATTTACGCACAACAAAAATGCATCAAAACTGAATGAAAACAAAGACGAATCATAAACAATAAAAACAAGAAATCGAAAAAGAAAAATAATGAATGACAGGTTCACCAAAAATTTCGTCTCGATAAAAGTTAATTCTGTCTCGCTAAAAATTGGTTCTAGGTAAGCATGCCAAAATTTTTTTTTGAATAATAAAAAAGCAATTAAAAAACTTACGAAGTGGAAACAAAGCCGACAACCTTTGAGCAGACATCAGTTGCGTCCAAAAAGCGATTTTGTATAAAAAAAGTTTTGTCACCCTGAAACTGCAATTAACAACACTCGCAATTATAACGAATATTGCTTACAGCAAAGAAAACGCCATGTGGCAACTGAGCCGACAAAAATTGAGTAGACAAAGGAAAGTTAGACAAAAATTTCAATTTCATAGATACTGAAAAAAAACAAGGTCCGGACAGGACTCGAATCCCAGACCTTAGGGTGAATAGGCGGCCACGTTTCCTCAAATCCAAGATGGAAAGAGCCTGAAAATTATTAGGGTTCCGCAATAAAGCAAGAAAGAAAAACAAGTAAGATCTGTATAAAGTTTTTAACTGAAAAAAGTATGATTCCCGATTAAACGAAACTTGCTTTTGCAAGTGTAATTACAAGGAAAATTGCTTAAACGCAACAAAAATTGGTGGTTTGGCGATTAAGCCGACCAAAAAAGAAGGAAATTGATATGCAAAAAAGAAGGAAATTTTGCAGCTTATTTCTATCAAAGTAAAAACAGATCCTGGTCGGATTCGAAACGAGGCCCTCAGCCCTCCCAGGCGTAATCATTTACTCTAGACCAAGTGTGCCAGAGAAACTGAAACTATTTTGAATTGATTACAAATCAAACTATCATATGATTCAAGTGATTTTGTTTTATTAATTGTTAATCTTAAAAAATCTTAATTCGGATTTGATAACGCTTACCAATAGACATTTGAATGACAGTTTAAGTTAACTAAAACTGCCATTTTCAAAGCCTAAAATATATGATTACTTTCTTTAATTCATTCTGCTGTGAAATCATTTGCGGGGCAAAAAGCCGAAAGTTTTAAGCCATATCGAATTAAATGAATCAAATCGGCCGAAACTCTATATGTGGCAAAAAAATGTTGTTTCACTACAGAGGCGAAGCAGAGCTTTGCACATGTGATACCAAACTTTACGCCAAAAAATTAACTTTCATCCAAAAATTGATACAAAATCCACATTCTCAAGAAAAATTTCACTTTAGCTTACAATCTTTTTTACAATTAATTTACAATCTTTTTGAAACGTTCAAAACTGACAAAGTAAAACATTACCTTTTTCGTTGAAGTCTCTTGAAAGTTATTTCTCATACAAAAAAACTCGAAAAACTTTTGAATAACGTACTGGCTACAGAAAAGCAATTTAAGCTACAATTTAAGGTCCAAATGAGCTTTTAAGTGGAAAACAACAGTAAATTGAATAAAATCAGCTAGTACAATCACACACGGAGGGGAAAGGTAGTTTTCGTGAACGCAAAAACTTTGAAAAACGGTCAAAAATCAAAATTTTGACTATTCCAAGGACCATAACTTTATGTGTACAAAAAAAATGGGCGTAGCCGCTCATGCAAGGAGCTTTTCCAACTCGTTCTATTCGTTGAAACTAAGAAATCAGATTTGGGAAGGGTACTTTTCGAGAAACAAAAAAAATATATAGGTCAAATAATCTCCCACAGATTATTTCGAAGGCTGCTAACAGAGGGATCGAACAAAAAACTAGGGGAGTATACTAGAACACAGGGGAGAAGGCGGTGTTTCAATTGATACCCCTTTTTGAAAAACATCAGAATTTTCTGAGAAAAACTAAAATTTTTCCAATGAATTTGGAAATAATTGTCCATAATGAAAATTACAACAAACCAATTATAAAAATACAACGGACATGAAATTGCGGAGGAGAAGGATCAACTTGTGTTTCCCATGAAACTACCCAAATTTAGGTCATTAAGTCGATAAAAATAGGGCGAAATAATTCGGACCGAGGAATTTATCTTAAGCGAAACAAAACAAAAAGGAAATACGAAGTCGCGGTAAGTAAAATTACAAATTGCAGGAGTAAATCAAACACTAAAAAACTATTTAAAGATGTGATAACTAAGCCGATAAAGATCAGCAGAAAAATATGTGGTTATCATAAACTTTTATTTCGCTGGGAAATCTGATTATTAATTTTCATTTTAGAAATTAGAAGTCGATCACATTTTTTGTGAACTTTACGCTTTTGCTGTTCGAAAGTGGTGTTTGCCTTCTTTTCAACAATGGAAATGCACTGAACTTGAAAATAAATCACAAGTCAAAGCGCGAAAAATCAAAGATAAGCGTCAACAAATTTTAAGACTTTTTCCTGAAAAAAAAAATCAGCAAGACCTATATAAGAGTACTCACTGCGTTCATTAATAATAAAAAATCAACCTATCAAATGGCTTATTCAGCAAACTGTTTACCAGAAAAAAAAGACTGTTTACCGGAAAAAAAAATATTTCGATTTGATAACGCATGTTAATCGCTAGCGTAATCAGAATATATTTTATAACACTATAGAATATATCGCGACGGTTGTAACCTCAACTGTGTATTGTTTGAATACGTCGGAGATCGTCCTTTGAAAATTTTATCCACAATCTGCTGATCAAGAATGGTCGGGCGCTGAATTGTAAAAAGCATGCCAAGTCAAGGCAGTCTATCAAAACGAATGATTCCTGCTGCCTCATCTCAGTTGAAGTTTTTCAGGCAAAGAGTGACACTTTTCAAGGAGCAATTTAACTACTAGTGAAAAATTGCGAATCATGTATTGTTCATTTTTGCGAAGAATACAATTAGGCAAACAATTGATCTTTGGTCATAAGTTGGCAACTCAAGGTCCATTTGTGAATGAGTTTGGGGCTCAGTTTAACAGGTCTCAAGAAAATTAGCATTCATGGCAAACATATATTTAATAACTGAGTAAAATTAAGTTAGCTTAATGGAGCTACAGTCAGTTCATTTCATTGTTATGCTCATGCTTGCGTTCTATTTTGAACCATAATGTTCAGTGTTTAACCACAGCGCAAACTCGGAAAGAAAAACCGTAGCAAACTCGGAAGAAAACCCATTAGCGATACAATCAACATTAAAAACTATTGTAATTCATTTGGAAGTGCAGAAATGGTATTGACCAGGTAAGATCAATTCAAACTATACAAATACAAACCTTATCTTTTTCAAATTTCTCAATTTCCATAAATAATTAAATCTACGTATCTCGTTTAAATAACGGAATTATTTAAATATTTTGTTCTATTTAAGTAATGTTTAAAACAAACACGATCAAGGAAACGTAAGCCAAATTAATGGTTGTCATTTTCGAAATGCATATTTTATACATAATGGGTTGTGAAAAATAATAGAGAGGATAGTTAATAAGTTAGAGTATACTTAGAGGATAGTCAAAAAATTTCAATTAGGGGGAAATTGTTGACAGGTTCTTAAACTACTAACCTCTACAAGTCGTTTGATCTGAGCTGCAATGTGAAACCCCTTCGTTATTTTTTGAGGAACTTCGTATATTCATTTGGCTCTTTTGTCAACGATTTTAGACTCAAAATTTTCTCGCAAGAAAACTGTGATTGTATTGAACGATGTTCATTAAATAACATATTTTTGAGAGCAAATCACTATTTTCACGAAAGTTAAGTTTTCACACAGATGATGTTATACATTATAAAACATCTAAGACTTGAACCAGATGATATTATTGAACCAGATGATATTATACATTATAAAACATCTAAGACTTTATTACACATTAACAATTTAAAACGACTCGCCAGCTTAAGTTTTATCTAGATTCATTTTTCTCTTTGTATTCAAAAGAAGGAAAGACAACGCATCGCTTGATTTTTAAATTAATTTATTTACAAAATTGACATAATTCAATTGAAGAAACACATTTCCAGTTCCATAAGTTAAGTTCATGAAGACTACATAGACATTCTTCGAATAGATACATGTATCTAGTTTCATAAGGAATATTACCATCCAGCTCTGATCAGCAGCTGTATTACGGTACCCTTGGTATCTGAACCAATCTCTCTAACAGTGCGAATTTCTCCCAGCAAACCTGATCTATGGTTCATCCACCAGAGCTTGTAGCATTAAACTTAACCATTTTTGTACTCCATGACTTCGCCTGGTTTCGTCAACAGCCTTCAGAGTATTATTTCAGCTACCTCATTTTAGCAGCAATCAAATAATGTTATGAGTGATCCCACTTTGCTAATTTCATTCGTCTCGACCTGCTCAAATTTCTGCTAATTCCAAGCACCAAAGACCTCTGAAAATAATCTTGGTTTGCATTTACGATACAAAACTGTTTTTATTTATAACTTAATCTTGGAACTACATTACCTGAAGCTTTAGCGAAATTCCAACACAGAGGCGAAGCTGCGCTTTGCAAACACAAGCAAGGAAGATGCAAAAAATAGCACTAAACAGGCAAAACAAAGTCAAACACAAGGAAAAGATTTTAAAAAAAAAACCTTGAAGAAAAATTGAGATTAGGAGTAACACGTTCTCACATCTTCTTCAAGCCCGCTTGTAATTTTATTAACATAAGCCACGAATAAAGCAGCTAGTTTATCAAATTGACAAAAATTCGACCAGAAAAAAAAATATTTGGAAAAAGAAAAAGATTTAATTCCAATTTCTTGTTCAGGACTGGAATATCATATTTAGCTGTTGAGTATTTGAATATTCGACTTAGCTATAATAAAATATTGCTACAAAAAAGGGTCAAACAGATTGTGCAGGGAAAATCGAAGCACCTTGTTCGAGTCACTTACAATTAACTATTGAAACATTCGCCCGGAAGTTGTAACATTCGCCCGGAAGTACATACCGACTGCAAATAAAGCTAGGTTATGAAACGACTGGCAACCGTCTAAACACAGCTTCACATGCTTTTATCCGTCTCAACCAAAGCCAGTTCAATGTGTGGTACATTAACATCGGGTCGACAAGGTCATTACTGTTTTCGGCTATCGGCCAGAACGCGCATATTAACTTAATTACATGCAAAATAGTTAGCTGATGGCTGGGTCTCAGTATCCCCAGACCACGAGGTCACTCCTAAAAACAGGGCTACTACTTATTTATTATATTACTATTGTTTTTGTTCAGTAGATAAAAATCATCATATCCATCGGAGATGGATCAACCCTTTCCCTCAATTTCTAGCTACTCATATTCTGCAAAATGAATTAGATGATAACTAGCGTGTACCGCACCTCCGGTGCTTCGAATTTTCAACAACTCCAAAAAACTATTCTTTGAGTGTACTCTGACAGCACCCAATTACAGGGTTCGTAATTAAAAATTTTGCAAAGTTTTTTATTCAAGTGTTTCATACAAACTTTGAAGAACCATAAAATTTTGTAAGTTTTATACAAGTTCTTCGAAAAATTTAAAATGAACTAAAAACGTCACATCTGGGAAACTGAAAGCAATTGAGCAGTCGCATTTGTACGCAAGAATTGCAACTCCTGAGAGTAACTTCAAATTTTGTAAAATTTTTCATTCAATTTTTTATTTCAAATTTTGAAAAAACCATTAAAATTTGTGACATTTTTAGATCGAAGTATATAATGTACTAAAACAAGTCTTATCTGAGAAACTGAAAGCAATTGAGCAGTCGCATTTAGACGCAAGATTTGCAACTCCTGAGAGTTCTCTTACATCATCCATTTACAATTTTAAATTCACCTCAAGTTTTGTAAGAGTTAATTTTTATGAAAACCAAAAAAAATTACATCTCGAAAACTACCAAAATTTGAGCAACCTTCTTTGATGGCAATATTCGGAATCTTTGAAAGTACACAGCTACAGGATTGGGTATTTCCCTTTGACAAATTATTTTGTATTATGAGTTTTCAACAACCGGTGCTTCGAATTTTCAACAACTCCAAAAAACTATTCTTTGAGTATACTCTGACAGCACCCAATTACAGGGTTCATAATTAAAAATTTTGCAAAGTTTTTTATTCAAGTGTTTCATACAAACTTTGAAGAACCATAAAATTTTGTAAGTTTTATACAAAGTCTTCGAAAAATTTAAAATGAACTAAAAAACGTCACATCTGGGAAACTGAAAGCAATTGAGCAGTCGCATTTGTACGCAAGAATTGCAACTCCTGAGAGTAACTTCAAATATTGTAAAAATTTTCATTCAATTTTTTATTTCAAATTTTGAAAAAACCATTAAAATTTGTGACATTTTTAGATCGAAGTATATAATGTACTAAAACAAGTCTTATCTGGGAAACTGAAAACAAATGAGCAGTCGCATTTAGACGCAAGATTTGCAACTCCTGAGAGTTCTCTTACATCATCCAACTACAATTTTGACTTCACCTCAAGTTTTGTAAGAGGTAATTTTTTGGAAAACCAAAAAAAATTACATCTCGAAAACTACCAAAATTTGAGCAACCTTCTTTGATGGCAATATTCGGAATCTTTGAAAGTACACAGCTACAGGATTGGGAATTTCCCTTTGACAAATTATTTTGTATTTTGAGTTTTCCGAAAATTTCAAAAAATCACAAAAATCGTCATATCTCTTATACAAAGATGATTAGGGCATTCTTAATTGGAGGTCAATTTTGCGAATCCTGAGATTACTCTGACAGCCTTCCCCCAGCTACAGGTTAGGAATTTCGAATTTTCAAAAAATTAAATAAATTTTCATGAAAATTTTTTTGAAAAAAAAACACAAAAAATATCATATCCGGAAAACTGCAAGATTTTGAGCAGTCCTATTTGTGTAACATTCGCCCAAATACTACACAGCGACGGAGCGTAGAAAAAGTACCTATTAACGACTGGCAGGCGTCAGTTACCTTAATCCTACTCGTTTTTCACCGTCTCGACCTTTGTGACATTCGACCAGAATGTGCCAAAATGCAATCTCTGCAGTTTAGTCATTTTTAGCAGCGAGCCTTCCGAGTTAGTGATTTTGGAGGATTAAGAACGTTATTTGAACGATTGAACAAAACGTGAAGGTTGAAGGATTCGGAAATTCCTAAATTTTAAATTTTCGAAGTGATTACATAACATTTCTGAGAAACGTCAGAAACGGCCATTTTAGCAAAAAGAACTAAGAAAAACAGAACAACATTAGTTGCGCGGACGATAAGTACGAGAATTGTGAGAAAAAACAATAGCAGATTGCAGGAATAGCAGTGAACACTCCGAGTTGCAACTATTGTGTCGCTACAATAGTTGCAAGGCTGTTGCAGACAACGGTGAAGGGTGGAGGACAGCCTTCCGGATTAAGAAATCAAGATTAACGAGCTTGATTCAGTGGATTCAAGAATCCGGAAGGGTTTCGGAACTGAGACTTTTATTCTTTTAAATAGACTTTTAGCTTCTTGTCATGTCCTGATTTGAATTTAATTAACAACTGGATTCATTTTGATAAGGATGAGAAGCTAGGAGTTGGGGGAAAGGGTTGATCCATCTTCGATGGAGATGATGATTTTTATCTACTGAACAAAAACAATAGTAATATAATAAGTAGTAGCCCTGTTTTTAGGAGTGATATCTTGGTCTGGGGATACTGAGACCCAGCCATGAGCTCACTATTTCTGCATGTAATTAAGTTAATTTGAGTGTTTTGACCGAAGCCGAAAGCAGTAACGTTTTGTCGACCCGATGTTAGAAAAGACCACTGAAAGTACTGGCTTGGTAGAGACGGTGAAAAGCATATAAAGCTCTGTTTAGACGTTAGCCAGTCTTCCGGGCGAATGTTACATACATGTTTTTATGGCGCTCCTGGGTGTTATTCTTTTTTAACATCATGACCGGCAGAACCGTTAACGAGCACTCCGCGCCGAGCGGATGCTCACATTAACGCCCTTAATAGGCCTAAAACGCGGGCGCGGAAGGGTAGTTCGGAACGCGGAAGCCTTCCGGATTACCGTGAATAGCTTTTTAACTTAGTTAAGACCGAAAATTCACGAATCAGGAAGGGTGGGGGGATCGGCCATTCCCTCGTTCCCTGACAGGTTTGTGACCAAAAACACTTAAAGATATATATAAAACCAAATAAAAAGTAGTATAGTACCCAAGAAAAACAAAAAACATAAAAAAATAACCGAAAAAACCAAAAACAGTAAAAAAAAGTAAAAAATCAGTAGAAATCATCCCCCCCAGACAAGATGTGATCCGACCCCCCCGTTGTTGTTGATAGATATATTGTTGTTACAGGCATTTATATCAGTCAAGATCGTTACGATCAATTTTGTAGCCTGTTTGTGAGGCTTGTACTGTAGGGTTATTTGAGCATTTAAGCACGTTAATGATAAACTGCGCTCAATCCGAAAGGGTCAGCTGATTTGCGCTCAATTCGGAAGGGTCTTGGGAGAAGACTGATCCGGCAAGCAGTACAAGGAGCAACAAGAAGGCGCTCAACGACAACAACAATCGACTGTTGGGTATCGTTAACAAGTTTTGTATCCCTTTTGGTACAAAAAGTAAGATAGTAATCTGTGGGGGGCTCGACAGTGCTGCACTGTAGTGACCCTTCACCGAACTGCGAATATCCGAGTTAAGCACCTTAATTCGGATATTAAACAAACCCGGAGGGGTATAGTATTACTAATATTATTACTAATTTAGTCTATATTAATACTCTTATACCGTTTTTCAGTGAAAAACACAGAATGCAGACCGGTTTTTAGGGTCACAATAGCGATATTTTGATCCCCCCACAAGTCGCGATTTTTGAGATATCGATAATTTTTGAAACAAAAAAAAAGCGCTAAATTAGTGTGTTACATTGTAACTGCACTACTACAATAGATAGAACCGGTTAAGTTTAGTTCGGAAGTGGTTGGAACTAATTTGGAACAAAAAACCAAATTTTCGTGATTTTTGAGAAAACGAAACACTAAAAACTCAGAAAAATTTTTTGAAATTTTTGAGTTAGAACAGTAAAAATAGTTGTTCGGACAACGTCCACTAGTGAATCTACAAGTTTTAAAACCCGCTACCCGAAAGCCTTCCCGGTTGCAGGGAAATCGAATTTAACGTGTTTGATTTGGTGGATTCATCAATCCGGAGGGGTACAGGTAGCATAGTTCTCGCAAATGTTTTCAACTATAGGCCTTCTGAGCTCGGATCAATAATTTTTAGGTCGAAAGGACCAGATTTGCGGAAAAAGTTAGGCGGAACCTATAAGAGAGAAATTTCTTGACTTTGGAAAAAAGACGTTTTGGTTAATAACTTTGGAACTACTAGGCATATCGAGTTGATCTTGGTACCAATAGATCAGAAATTAGCTGAGCTTACTGATAGGGACAAAAGTTTTTCGGAAAAGTAAGCGCGAAAATTTTTTTTGAGATTGTTTTTAGCAAATTCACCAATTTGGGAGGGTAGACCCTTCACGTTTTGTAAATTTCTTGTAGGAAAACCCTTATACCCCTACCAAAAGGTAATAGCGGTTGAATAAAGTAACTTTAGGCCGTTCTAGACGAAAAGGGAAGGCTAAAGGCACAGAAAAACCTTATTCGAGCCGAAGTTAGGCGAGCGATAAGACCCTTCACCGTTATTGTGAATTGTCAAATAAGAGGCTTAACTTCAATCCGGAAGGGTCTAGGAAAGTAGTACATACCCTTCCTAGTTAATTGAAAGAGCAAAATTGCATCGGAGAACGTATCCGGAGGGGTATAGGTTGAAAGAAGGAAATCTCCGAAAAGCTTCTTTTACAAAACCGGAGGGCTCCCAATCCGGAAGGGCCAATTTTTTTTTTCAAATTAGGAGGGGTCCGAATCCGGAGCGGTCTTGTAGTTGCTAATTCGGAGGGGTCCAAATCCGGAGGGGTCTTATATTAACTAACTCAGAGGGGTCCCAATCCGGAGGGGTCTAGATTTTGTTAGTACGGAAGGGTCCTATTTGTGCCAATCCGGAGGGGTATTATTTTATTAAAGGACTTAGGTAGACGGGAGACAGACTAAAGTGAGAGGTATTAGGTTATTAGCAGACAGGCTAGGAATCAGTGACTGCACTGGTAACTTGCGTTTCAATAAGAACCAGACCAAAACAAAACAGGTCCGAACTCGGATATTCGCGACATTAAGTCTAAACTAAAAAGAGCGTAATTCATTGGTGTGGATTGAAACCCAATACGTTTTTGTGAAAAGTGACTGCCCTGAGGATTTTAGTAGGGATAGCTCGGGAAATCCGAAGGCAGATAGGTAACACAGTACTCGGTGGGTGCAATAGACGCCCACTTGAGAAAATTACTGCCTTCAAAAACAAGTTCGACTATTGTACTGCGACCGACTAAAAGTACATTATACATACGTTTTTTTATAGAGATATACTTTTTCTGTCATTATATTTTTTTGTTTTTGATTTTAAATCAACATAAACTGTGCTTGATTGGGTAGTGAGTACACTATCTTTTAAATTGACTGATAACAGCATATTGTGCTAGTTTCCAAATCTTACGACCGATAATCGGTTAGTGTGAATAAATTATATACAAACTGTACTCTGACAACGTACAAGGATTCGTAGTCACTTTTTTATAGAATCTTGTGAAATTTATTGTGTTGTGTCATTTTATTGGTAATAAAACTATAAGGTCACTAGCAATCAAATTAAGTG